AAAAGAAAACAAGAATCCCTCAAACCCTTACTCACCTCTCTTATTTCTCTCAACCCTTCCTCTTTCATTTCTCTCATTCCAATATTTTCTCTGTCATCCCTATTGTAGCCCTAATTGGAAAAATAAAAAACATTTGCCTAACCCTAATCCACATTCCTCATGTAAGATGAAAACAAAGATAAAAAAGAAGAATTCAAAAAATGATGAAAGATTTGGTTTCAATTTAATTGAATCTAGTACAAAAAAGATAGTAGAAAAAGAATACATGGATCTGGAACTATATTTTGTTTCTAATTGCCAGTATTTTAGTGTTTTTTTAGTTTTGAAAATGAAAATTATTCAAATACTCTTGACCTTAAAACTCAGAATCTGTAATATATGAGAGTATTATTGTCTACTAAAATTCGGTATATATATATATATATATATATATATATATATATATATTGTAACACACAAATTAAACTTATTTGGACAGATGCAAAGTAATGCGTTTGACTTTTGTTTGCTTGGGATTCAAGGGAAAAACAAAGGAACGGGGCAACTAAAACACATGTTAGTGTCTTGTTTGGGGCCGAAGCACGGGCCGAATAAAACACATGTTGTATTGTATATGTAAATTGGACAAGTCTCGATTCTGAACATATGGATTCATATGCTTCACCCATGGAATGGATTCTTAAGTACCAGTCATTCATTCACACTCTTATGTTATTTTTTCTATTAACATTTATGTATTCATTAAATTCATTCACACTCTTAGTAAAATACATTCTTCAAATATTATTTTTTCTAATAATCATTTTAAACATTACGTTTATAACATTACAATAAAACCAATATCTATTATTTAAACAAATCACTGGTCTTTCATTTTCATATATTCATCATATATACACATTTATGTATTGATTAAATTCATTTTTATAAATTAATACTATAAAGATTATAAAAACAACTATTACATTTTACTTTTTATGACGTTGGTAAAAGATATTATTTAATGACAGCATATGATGATCATTATATTCAGAGTGTTATTGTACATAGTATATGATGAGCATTATTTTTAATTGTCATTATAAATATTTTATGATGACAACTTTCAATAGAGTTACCAGTACGTATCACCATAGTTAAAAAAATAATCGTGGTAGTATCATTTTTGTTGTAATAAACATTTTATATTTGTACTTTTTTATCTTTTTTTTTTGTTTTCTTTTCTGTCATCACGATTTGTCATTATGATAGGTATCCATTATAATTACTTCTTGTGTCACTATTATTGTGTTGTTGTTTTTTGAAAACTATTATTGTTATAACATTTCCAAATTTGATTTTGTGACAGTGATATTATCATCAATATGTTCTCATATATTGTTTTGTTTCTAGTAGATTTTGTATGACTTTTACTTTCATAATTTTTTCCTTTTTGTTTAATAATTGTATTATCTCTTCTTCTATTTTTTTTACTTTAGAAATTGTTTAAATTTAGTGTGAATTGTAAAAATACATTATTTATGTTGATTATTATATTAAAATTATTGATGATGATTATTTTATTGTATATATTGAAATTGGCTCAAGAAATTTAAATAATACATAAATCTAAACGAAACATAGCAAGATAAACAATGTAGATATTTTATTTAGTAGGTTTAAATTATCTTCTCCGCAAATTAATTTACAGGAGATATATATTTTTTAAATATAAGTTAATAAGAAAAGTTGAAAAGAGTTATATAAAACGTATACAGAAATGAATTTTGGGTTATGTTGTATTATAGATATGACCGGGTCGTCGAAACGAAGGTCTGAAAATGAAAGCATAATAAGATGATAGATGAAAAATAAAATGAGGTTGTTTAACTATTGAGGTGGAATGGTTCTTTTCTCTTTGAGTTGAACCTTTCAAAATCTTGCCACACCAAAGAATGGTCTCAATAGTGCCTTTGATCGGCTTTTCTCTCAGCCCAACTTAAGACAAAACAACCCAAATTAGGGGCGTGAACAAGTCCATTCCAATCTTTATTTTATTTTATTCTATTCTATTCCCAGAAACAATAACCAAAAATAACACAATTTCACTTCTAAACCTAACCATTCATATTATCACCGTGAGTCTGTGTTCGAAAGCGAAGACACGTTCTAAAATCTCATGGTGCGAAAAATGAAATATCAGAATTGCCAGTATTCACTTTGATATGAAAAGTCACATAAACACGGATTGTTAGATTCAGAAAGGAAACAGATAGAATTCAAACTCATACAATATTTTTTAATGTCAAATTATAAATGTTGAAGGGTTAATTAATATCATTAAAAGACTTACAGCTCTTACGATAAACAATTAATGTAGCGCTTTTAAAAGACACATAAGATGCTACCAAATTGAAATTCTTTATGCAGAAGAAGTTGTGAATGGAAATCAACGTGACTTGAAGACTATAACACATATTTTTCAAAATCAATTATATTGACTGATGATTTTCTCTTGTTCTTTGTAAGGAAAGAGAATATTGAACCTGCAGCTTCAATATGCAAGGAATTCAATAAATTCAAGTTCCTGCTACCCCACACTCTTCAATTTCTATACATTTTCATAGTCTTTTTCTATTCAAAACACATGAAATTTAATGACTTCGTGATTCACCGTGGTTTCAAATTAATTGCTAGTATTTAATGACTTCGTAGTTTATTATTGGCGCCAACGTCTTCTGTGACGTCAATCTTTTTTGCTATTTTTTTCGTAAACATTTATAATTTCATAATGTTATTAAAGTTTTTTGACATAGGGATTTGATCGTGATGGGTGTTGTTTATTTCACTATTTATTATTAGTTAGATATGTTAAACTGTATATGGCAAATGCAATAAATATTACAAGAAAACACTCCATGGTTGTGGTTTAATAGTTAATGTTAATTGAGTCAATTCTTTGTAAAGTAAAAATAATATTCTATTGATATATGTTTATTATTTTCCGATTTATGTTTATAAAACACAAATACTTAATACAAAACCACTAACCTAAACTCCTAATAATTGGGACCCGCAACACCTCACCAGCTAGTTAATTGTTATATATATTAATTCAAACTTTAATCGTCCATGAAATTTACAATGATATAAAAAACCAATTCAGTTATTTAGGAAATCACACTGATTTACGACTGTTAACCTAATGCAACTGTGTAATCGGCAACAGCTTTGATGAATCGTCACTTGACCGTTTGAATCGAGTAAAGCTTTGACATTTAAGCTTGTAAAAATCTCACTTTTAAAGAAAGACATTCATGAATTTAATTATTATTTTTTTTGTGTGTAGAAGCGCACAGAAAATGAGATTAAGGAGAAATTTCGAAGGAACTGGAAAGAGATAGAGATGCTGTCTGCTTTCAAAACTTTATTGTTTTTTCAAATACAAACCTTCTTTTTAATTAATTGTTTATAGAATTAATGTATCAAAAACCTCCTTATCCATCGCAAATCTTAATTACGTTATATATACATCTTAAAGCGTGCAGTTCATCGTCTTGCTTTCTGATAGCTCTTTGAAAATGGCATTTATTGTCTGAAGTACAATTAAAAACTTTCCAGTTTATAAAAATTCATCATTTTTGTATTTTCAGTAACAACAACCAAACTTTAGGTAGAGTGGGAACGAGATAAAGTTTATTATATTTGAATAATAAAAGTAGAGATAATAAAACATCGAGTAAAGTATAATAAGTTGATATTATAATAGTGTTAACAAAAACTGACGTTGATTAATTGGGAGCAGCATCCTCATATATGTCACCTTGGTCCAACGGACATACGTCCGTTCACACGTATTTTAAAGCCATCTACGAAATAATAATACATTGTGCTTAATAACATAATTAACCTCAGTACCTAAATGCGTATTTTTTTATAATGAACTTCAAACTTAAATAAATACAAAACAACCGAGTCCTACGTGTCGTGGTTTGATCCCAAATATGAATACTTGACCACAGTAGTGTTCGACTGCCACATTATATTCATTTCAAACGTTCTGCTGTCAGTTAGAAATAAAAGATGTGAAATTAAGTTAACACCCATTTATATATTTACAGACTTCTTGTATGGATTATTTCAAGACAATTCTTTGATACTCTATAGTATCACGACTACAGAATGTAAAACCAAAGTTAAGTAATGTTTATACGCACACCAAGAAATTAATTACTCTTTTTACCTTTTAATAATAAAAGTTTAACATATAGAACTTAGAGGGATATTTTTTTATTCTAACGTATAGGAATGGTATACCCAAATAAAACTTTAACACAGTGATGATGAAATTGTTTTGGATTACATTTATTCTATTTCTTTTAAAAAATAAACATATATAAAAACTATTTGCCGTGATTACAATGTAATAACTTTTTCATAAAATTTTATATCTTACACTTTTAACCAGTTAATAAAATAGAAATTAATAATTATACTTACTTGATAAAGGAGTAACTAATTTTTGTGATTAATTAAAAGGGTCCTCGAGGAAACAACCCCTAAATTTCCCTCAAATTAGTGTAAAGGAATGACCACGTCAGCGAATCAGTGTAGCCGATCGCCGATAAACAGAACACGTATTTTTTTTTTATACAATAATAAAGAGAGAAAAACTACGGATACGTACTTACGTGTTTGAAGGAACAATTAGTTCCTAATATGGATTCCCGAGGGTCCGAAAATTCAAATGCTTTTACTCTTTTTGTTCAATTACCTAGTATTTTCCATTAGTCCAACATAAGCCCTTTTCTCCCAAATTTACACACACACTCTCTCGATCGATATATGTATATATAGACTTTACACCCATCTTTGTCTCTCAGATCTTCCCTGAGTTAAAATCTCTCCCCACAAAGTACACAACAAATTAAAGTCTGTAGCAAAGAAAGAAAAGTTTTGTAGCAAGAAAACCCAACAAAACAAATTATAATCGGTAATTAAGTTAGGCTGAGGAAGGAGCCATGCAGCGTTTACCCAAGATGATGACTAAAATCGGTGGTCCGGTATGCGACGTCTTCATCAACCACCGTGGGATCGACACCAAGAGGAACGTTGCCGGGCTGTTGTACGATAATCTTACGAGGATTGGAGTGAGGGCATTCTTGGACAGCATGAACATGAAACCCGGGGACAGGCTTTTCCAACACATTGATAGAGGCATTCTGGGTTGCAAGGTTGGTGTTGCCGTCTTCTCTCCTCGCTACTGTGACTCCTATTTCTGCCTCCACGAGCTCGCTCTTCTCATGGAGTCCAACAAAAGGGTCGTTCCCATTTTCTACGACGTCAAACCCTCGCAACTTACGGTCAAGGACAACGGAACCTGCCCTCCCGCGGACCTTCAGAGGTTCGCCTTTGCACTTGAAGACGCAAAGAACACCGTGGGATTGACGTTTAATTCTTTGAACGGGTAAATATACATACATTCACACATCTCTCTTTTTCCTCTTTGGGTTAATGGGTCATGATTTATATTACATGAAGTTGGGTTTTGATTGATTTGGTTTTGTTTTCAGGGATTGGTCGGAGTTGCTGAGGAATGCTTCGGAAGCGGTGATCATGAACTTGTTGGAGGTAAAGGAAGAAAGGAAGTACGCGAAGAAGCAGCGTTGAATGCTTCAATGTTCATAGCGTGGATATAACCACAATATAAAATTTGCATATATATTTTTTCGGTATATAAATATATGGGCTCGTAATGAGAGAGACCATATGCTGCTACCTTTAACGTCACTCAATTATGTGGCCTCAATTCACTTAACATTAGGATTAGGCTGCAGCTCCAACTTTTTCTTAGACTAAAACTACAGAAATTGGTTCAACACAAGCACAACAAAGTGCTCTTAGATTAATTTGTATCATAATTCTTTTATTATTTCATTATTAATACAAAATTGTTTCATTAATTTTATGATTAACAGATTTCAAGGTTATAAATCCATAAACTGTAGTTTATTAACTACGTTTTCTCGCTAGTATTTTATACATTCCCCAATATCAGCCTCGTAATTCAACGTTTAACACAAAAGCAAACGCTTCTGCATTGTACCCGCCAAAACTAAACCCTGTTTGATAAAATAATGCTGCATTCAAATTCGTTTCTGTTAATAATTATACAGACTGATAAAAAAGTTCATTTCTTTCTTTTCAATTTTTTAAATTTTATCAATGTAAAAAATATTTTTATCATTAATGTTTTTATTTATTGGTAAAAGTCACATTTGTCCATATTAATAAGAGCCGCCAAGAAAACAATCCAATACATTATAAAAACTAAATATCTATGAAGGATTATCAATATTTTTCCAAATCATGTGTTATACTAGAAACTATATATTTTTTATTTTTCAAAGGATGTTCTTTGAATTTTTATACCAAATAATATACATATCTTGTCCTCTTTAATTATTGAGTTAAAAAAAAAGTTCTACACTGTAAAAAAAAATTAAACAATACTCAATTTTCCAATTAAACAAAATATTAAAAAAGGTAAACAGTAAGTTTAGTGAAATAAGTATTGACATGTTTTATTTTAAATACAATAAAAGAATGCAGTTTTAATGCAGAAATTTTAATTTTATTAATTTTATTTAAATCATTTTAACGGTTAAGGTAATTAATTAAATACATATTTCATCTTCATTAGCACGTATGTTGTTGTGTTGTTTATTATAAAAAAAATAATAATATCGATATGCAATTAACATTGAAACGATTTTTTTATACCATTTACCACTCTTTGTAAAGCTAAAATGCTTTTCATTAGCTAATTGCTTTATATTTACTCTATATTCAAAATTCGTAATGAAATAGTATTTCATGTATTAAAATAACTTTTAAATTTTGTAGAACTGATCAAAACTAAAGCATTAACATTTTTATTATCATTAAACGGTTTTATCAATCATTGTCTATTAAATATTTCAGAAATATATATTTAACATTTCAAATATATTTTAAAACACTGGATAAATGTTCCAAAATAATAATAAATTTCATGTTACACTGGCATAATTTAGCATAGTATACTCATATTGTTGGAGTTTCTATATTAACTAAAACTGAAAACAATCAATAGTATATAGACAAATATATCCTTTAACAAGTTAGTTTTTAAGTCTAAATTCACTTATTAAAATGATATAAAATAGTTTATTATTTACAAGATTTAGTAAATTATAAATTATCATGTTATATGTGTAATTGCATGCAGGAAGAAGATGTGGTGAAATTGTCATGAGATAAGCCTAACGTTATATTTTTAACTATTTAAAAAAGTAATCGTAAGTGAGATTTGATAGCATGAAGCAAGAAGGAAGAAATTGATCCTGTAAATTCTTGGCTGCTTCTTTACCATATAATAAACTAGAATTGAAGAACCAAAAAGTGGATTTCTATTTTATGCTTCACCTGTCGGTGGATTGACATTTAATACCACTGTGTAGTCAAATAAAAATAAAATTTCTCTTTTTTTTTTCTTTTTTTATTCTCGATATTTATCATAATCCCTCCTTTTATGTTTCTCTATATTCTCTTCACGTTAATAATTGTTTTCTCAAATATTGTTAATATTACTTAGCTGATAATTCCCACTTTAATAAATTACATGTATGCGATTTTTAAAAAATCTACTATGAATTGAAATGCCTTCATATTTTAATTTAAAGTGATTTAGAAAAACCAAACTAATTAATTAAAAATCCTCCACTATTTTCAGTAGTTGATCAATTTGAAGGGATAATAATATAAGATACAAAGCCACTGATTGACCAATTTACAATATTATTTTGGAACTTATTTTAACAAATGAATCATCTTATAAATTGCCTGGGAATCTTACGTTCCAATGTTTATTAATACAAGTGAACGCTGACTATCAAGTAATAACAACTCCTTTTTCCAGAAGGTGTCTCCTTAAATAAGTTATTTTTTTATATATATACAGAAAAACATTTTTTTATTATGATTCTTGTCATTGTCATAGTAACACCAAGTATTTGCAACAATATACTTATTCTTATACTAACTGACTATACTTCCTACATAAATTCTAAAGAATATATTCTGAGATAAAATGACTATACAATTAATTTGAAAATATTTAAACGCTTTAAGTTGAAGCATTCAAAATAAGTTATATTATATGGAGAGCTTAATATATTCATAGACATAAGGCTAATTATTTCTTTATATCTCCTTTAGTAAGAAAAAAAAGGGATATTTGATATTGTTTATTCTCTAACTCGCTTTGAATTTGGTTTTATGATTATAACTTCTTTAAATTTTTAGAAGTTTGTTCTATAAGATCAAATAATAGTTTTACAAAGACAATCTTAATGTAAAATACTTATAAACTGATTAAACTGTTTGTTAGGTCTATTAATTATTTTGTACTGATTTTCGTGCTAATGAAAACCAGATGCATGAGTAGTGTCTGAATAGGAAAATATTATGTGCGAGTTTTTCTAATTTTTATTGGAGAGAGATTGATCAAATTTAATATCAATAAGTCATAAATAAATATATAATGACTTATAATATTATTTTTATTTAAAAAATCTTTATAGTAAGTTTGTGAGAATATTTAATTTCTATTAAGCGTTCATGTAAATAATAGTTTATGATAAGAATATAAAGATGTTGGAGAGAAGCCATAGCTTGCAGAAGAAGTAACAGTTTGAATAAAAGAAGAGAAGAATACGCGGAAAGAGAGGAGAGTCAAGGTGTTGACATTTTATTGTGTTTATTGATTTAGTGAGTGAATTGAAAGAGAAGAAAATTTCGTGGTCTTTTCAGTTTAATTACTTCAACAGATTGGCCCAGTCCAGCAAGAAGCCCACATAAGCACCACGACTCACTTTCTTCGTGTCATTGTCGCTACAGCTTTCTCCTCTATATTTACTTATATTTTAAAACATTAATCTTATTTTTAAATTCCTTAGTTCTATTCTCATTATTATTTAAAATAACCAATAAAGGGGACTTGAACACTGTACAGATAATTTATTCGCAAGTGTGTAAATTTATTAATTTTATGTTAATCTAACTTTTCCATAAGTTCAGTTTTTGACTAACATGTCATGTACTTTTTTCAATTAATTATGCATATAAAGATCAAATATTAAAATATAAAGATATTTCAACTTTTTAAAAAAAATAAAAAATTAATACTGTATCGAACTTATTAAATATTATCATTGAAAATAAAAATTATTGTATATAAAAGTGATACTATTCGATAAATACAGTTATTTAAAATAAATACTACTCTATTTTATAAAATTTATAATTATCAATATTTTAAATAATTGTGGAATTAAGTAAGTTTCTTTATATTTGAATTCAAGTCTTTTTTTTATAAATAAATAAATACAATAAAATGTACACCACACACACGTCGGAGAAGAAGGCCCAATACTACTTAAAATGGGCACCAATCTCATCCAATTCCACCACACCAGAGGAAATGCTTGGGTACATCACAAGGCCCAAGAAGAAACAAGTACAGATATATTTTATAAATCAAGATATTATTAAGTACTAATTTTTAAACAAAACATTATCAATATATATATATATATATATATATATATATATATATATAAATGATAAAATATGAATTTCAAACAGTCAAATCATATTTTCTAAAAATTTATTATTGTCTTAATAAATCAAAAAAATAAAAATTGTTAATTATGTTATGATACATGAGATAGTGAAAAACATACTCACAAGCCGAAGCATTCTAGAGTCATTGTCCTTAGTTTCCTGGTTTTAAAGTTTTAGTTACAGGGAGAATTGTCATTTTAATCTTTTTAACAGTATAATATCGATTGGAATAATAATTAATATCCATAAACAATTATTAATACTATTGAAATCTGATCGTAATATTTATCTTTTATCCTGCTTTCTTTCATATTCAAAGTGAAATTCGAATTTTATACCACTTGATTAATGATCACGAGTTTGCTACTACTCATAATATAATTTATTTTAATTTTTTAATTAAGAAATTTTAAAAGCAGTTTAACTTTTGTATTTATTTTATTCGAATTCCAAAATTAAGCTATCTATTATGATTTTAATTCTTAAATATATTTCACATTTAAGAATCTGACAATGAGGTTTTGGAATGAAGGCTACCTCATCTCTAATAAGTATGACATAATTAAGTGTTTGTTTGAATAATATTCATAATTATGGTGAATAACGTATTAAAATATAAAGTAAAATGTAATGAATGGATGTTGTAGTGTTGGATAGGCGAAATTGGCATTGGCAAAGATGAAAGTAATTGTAGTTTTGTCATTTTGTCGTAATGGGTAGTTTGATTATTTGGCATGATGAAGTATTGAAAGTTCGAAACAAATGAGGAAGGTAGAGTTGTATGTATAAGAAACTCTAAGTTTTAATTTTGGTGCATTCACATGGAATACGTGTTAATTTAATAATTCATAATCCTGACAAGCAGATGTAATCACCTCTTATGCCTCTTCAAGAACATTGCTTCACACTTTTCAGATGTAATTAAAGTTTCTTTCGTCACCCTTTCTATCTTTTCTCTTCGATTTTCTTCCATCATTAAAATCTTCTGCATTTTTAACATGTTT